TCCCAGGCGCCACATGGAGAGAACCTCTGACCTAGGCCCATGGCACATACATGTAAGCCTGCTTGTGCATGCATACACACATGCACACACACTTTTTTAAAGAGGGAGTTTTAAAATGCAGCTTCTGGCCGCCTTTCTGGGGGGGGGGGGCGTTGACACAGTGCACAGGCTTCCGCTTGGGTCTGTGCCACACTTTTCCAAATGGAAAGGGCACTGGTGGGCACAGCACAAGCAGAGCAGCACAGCCCCATGGGAGGTCACACGGGTGGCACCAAATGTCTCCTGGAGGTTACAGCCGGGCCTGAGGCTGGGAGGTGAAAGTGTGTAGGTAGTAAAGGGAAGGGGTGGGGCGGCCACTCTAATTATCCTCCCTCTCCTGTGTAACTCAAAGAGAGTTAACCCTTATGGAAAATGTGCCCCTGACCATAACCAAACATCACAGAGTTGCCAAATACCCATTAATATCACCTTTTCCATCTCTGCAGGCACTGGCTGTATTTTAAGAAGGTTGCTAAAGAGGCTCCCATCATTCTCAGTTCAAACAGTTGGCAGCACTCACTGCAGAAGGCACCGTTTTTAAGGACTATTTTCCCAACTCAGCAATCCACGGTGGTGGTCCTTCCAGCAGGATACGTACGAGGAGGATGTTTCAGATTAGCCTGGGCTACCTTTTGGGGCCACTGAGACGGTTCAGTAGATAAGGGTACTGCCAAGCCTGACAACCTGAATTTGATCTCGGAAACCCACACAGTCGAGTGGAGAACCCACGCCCTCAAGCTGGCTTCTGGCCTCCACAGTAGGACCATGACATGTGCACAACCCACCCCCACACAAATAAACAAATGCAATAAAAAGTAATTGAGCCCCATAAAGTAGGTAGTGCTGTAAGAGCCACTGCCAAGAGGAGGAGAACAGGACTCGGCGTGGCTCGTTAACTCTCTCAAAGCCACAGAGACAACAGTGGCCCAGACAGGTGGCTCTGGAGTGCAGGCCATTCTCTCCGGATCTGGAGAGAGGACTCAGTGGTGAAGAACACGATTGGGAATCAGTTCCCAGCACTCACATGGTGGCTCACAACCCTCTGTAAATTCAGTTCTAGAGGATCGGATGCCTTCTCCCGGTCACTAAGAGCAGTGTATGCAAATACTGCACACAACAAATTTACAGGCAAACCTTATTACACATAAAACAAAAATAATTTTAAAGACCATTTTATCAGTAGGATGAACCTTTCTGATAGCATGCCTGCAGCCTGAGCCTGCTCCTACTGTGAACATACCAGACACTCTTTCCCCAGCAGATCTCAAATTCCAGAATGGCAATAAGAGGTGATGCTGCTTACACAGTGGAGTCTGGAGTGGCAGGGCCCCTGAGCACTGCAATCTCCGCCAAGGGATCACAGCAGGCCTCAGCAAAGGTGATCTTTGTGTAAACACTACGAGGGACTGGGTGACGGTGGAAACAGAGGTGAGACAGACTTGGTAGCTGCCAATCTGGAAATGGGGGTGCAGGTGGCACAGTGGGGGAAACAGAGGACCACCATATGCTATGAAAAGGGATTACAGAACAGGACCAGGGTTCTGTGGAGAAAGGAGGTTGGGTCAAAGTTGACACAATCAACTTGTCACAATTGTCAAGACGGGAAGAAGACACTGGAAAGTAGAGCAGGAAGGACAGAGGCTAAGGAATCGGTTTACATGGGCACAGGCTGGAGGCATGTAAGCAGAAATGGCAAGTGAGGGCCCTAGGAGGGACACAGATGGCGGCACCAAATAACGAAGGGTCCCCAAAGCCAGTCCAAGGAACTGGGACTTTGTATGGAAAGTGCTGGGGCCACAGAACCCTAAGAAGGACAAGATAGGGCCGGTCCTGTGTGTAAGAACCCCCAAGGCTATGAGAAAGGACTGAAGGGGAGAGGCCAGGATCCAGGGGGCAGGCTGGAGCTAGGGTTCAGGTGAAACAGGGGCTAATGGGCTCAGACTTGGAGCCTGGGGCCTGGGGCTGGAAAGGAAACAGTGGTATATTAGGAGTGGGGTTGGGAACTGACAGTCCAAAGGAGGTTGGAGGTTAGGAGAAAGAATGGTGCCTAAGTCTGGCCCAAGTGATTAGGAAGCAAGCAAGGTCTGACTCCCTGACTGCCTTTAAGGGAGTGAGCCAGCAGATGTTGGATATGAAGTAGGAAGCCCAGCATAGTGTGGGAGGGAAGTGTCACTGACCTGGAGGAGAGGAGTGTGGTAGACACCATGCTGGGTTCACTTTTAGCTCGCAGCTCTCACTGGACATACCATAAATGACCATGACCCATGTTCTGCCCTAGCAGGTGCTGGGATTAGAGCTGATTCAAGAAGGTGAGGTGCTGCAGCTGCGAGGCTGGGGATGGGGTGACTAAGGCCAGCCTGGGCTATTAATAAAACACAGAGACCCACGCATGGTAGTACACACCTGTAATTCCAGCGCTCAGGATGTGGAGGCAGGAGGATCAGGGGTTCAAGGTCCTCCTCATCATCATTGTGAGTTCCAGGCTAGCCTAGACTAAATAAGACTATCTCTAGGGTCTGGGAAGATAGCTCAGCAGTTAAGAACACTGGGTGTGTTTCTAAAGGACCCAGGTTTAGTTCCCAACACCCCATCAGGCAGCTCACAATCACCTGTAACTCTGGCTTCAGGAGCTCTGATGCCCTATTCTGGCTTTCAAGGGCCCCTATACTTATGTGTGCATATCCACACACATAGACATAATTCAAAAAGAAACTTAGGGACTGGAGAGATGGCTCGGTGGTTAAGAGCACTGGCTGCTCTTCCAGAGGACCCGGGCTATCCACATGGTATCTCACAACTGTCTGCAAACCCCAGACCCAGGGTATTCAACATCCTCACACATGCATGCATGCAGGCAAAACACCAATGCACATAAAATAAAGAAATAATTTTTAAAAATTAAATAAAAAGGCCCTGTTAATAAAATAATAACTATTATTTTAAAAATAAAACAGATAAAAGATTGGAGGTATAGATCAATGGTACAGCACTTGCCTGGCCTAGCATTTGGAAGGTTTTGATTTGATTCCCCACCAACACGCACACAGACAAAACAAACAAATAATAAATGGTGGTTGAGTCGGGTCCCAGGAACCCATGCGTGTATCATTAAGTCTGGAAGTAGCATCTCTGTCATGGGCTGCTAGATCCCTAAGCCAACCCGTTTTCTCTATAGCAAACAGGCCAAGAGCCCCGGACTTGCCTGGACTTCTGACTCTGGCTGCTTCCCCAACTGGGGGACCCCACAGGCCTCAGCTTCCTCATCCACTCTATGGGATTAAGAGGACGGAAGATGTACAAATGGATTAGACTCTGTGCAGGACCTGTGTCTGCTGGTGGTCTGTGCCCACTTCAGTGTCTGCTGTTAGAGTCATGGCCATTTCAAGCCTGAGTCTGTCTTCTGTATTCTCTATCACTCCTCAGTGGGGGTGTGGGGACAGTGGTATTAATGTCACAGTTGTAGCCAGTTTTCACCTGTCTTGGAGGTCTCTTGGGCACACAGTCCTATGCTAGGGAAGCTAGGAAACGTGAAGGACACAGAAGGGAACTCCCAGGATGATGGGGATAGACACACAGGAACTGTCACCATCTTTTCCCGTTCAGGATAGGCCAAGCATTGAGAGAGACTGGCCTGGGAACCCAGTCTGATTCAATGCTGCCTATGCCAGCTTCTTTTTGGGGAGAAGCCAGGACTTCAGGGGTCCAGCCCTCAAACCGCTTCTCAAGCAAACACAAGTCTCCTTCCCTTTCTAGCAAAAGAGTTTCCTCGAGCAACCTGTGGATTTGTGGATGAGGCAGTTTCTGAGTCCTAAGGAACCAGAAGGCTCCCCATGTGCGGTACTTGCAGAGCAGGTAATGCAGTCAGAAAGAGACTGAATCGCAGAATAGACAAGTGTCTATTCTGTTTCTCCCTTGCTAAGTGACTTTGAGCTTCAGTTTCCCCGTGTGTTAAACAGAAACTATGACTCCTCCAGCCCACAGTTATCAAGGGACTGAGAAAGAGGGAAGCAGGGTCGTGACCCCAGAGGGTTCTGATTGTCAGAAACTCAGAGCCCTTGATCTTTGCTCCAGGTATGACTGGTCAAAGGGCAATAGAAATTGAGGAGGATCTCCCATGCGGGGTACGCTCCTGATCCTGGAAGCTCACAGCTGCGGTCTCAAGGTGCTGGGGCAGAGTCGGGGTGGGGAAAGTCACCTTCACAGCGAAGTCGATGACCCTCTTGACAGCCACGAGCGCGCGCAGCTCCGCCATCTTCCCGCAGCAGTCACTGGCCGGGTCAGGTTGCTGCTTATGCGGACCGTCGGTCAATCCGCCCCCGTGTCTGTCTCTGCGCCTGCGCACCGCGCCACCAACCAATCAATCGCTGCACAGCCCAAGGGAAGCCAATGGAAAGCGGAATACGGAGAGAGGCGGAGTCCAGGGCGGGCCGATTGGGAGAGGGGGCGTGGCGCCGAAGTAGGGGAAAGGGCACGCCTGGGAGTGAAATTGGCTGGGAGCTAGTTCGTCCTCCCCCCTCCTTCCCGTACTTCTGTAGTCCCCAGCTCTGCAGTTCACAGCCCTCTTTTTTCACCGTTTCAGGTCGCCGTGTCTGTGTTCCCACGCGCGCCCTGTGCCTTTCCCCCCTCGTTTGCTTGCCTCCGCGTTCTCCCTGTATATTTCCTCCTTATCTATGCGTATACACTTTCCTTCCCTGTGACTCCCCCGTGTCCTCTCGTCTCCTGTCCCCACGTCCCCTACGACTCCCCCGTGTCGGCTAATCCCCATACGCTCTTCCTGCGTCCACATCTCCTGTGACCCCACCCCCTCACCCCGAGTCCACTCCATGTTCCAGTGTCCATGTCTCCGCTTCCACCGGTCCACATTCCCCCTGACCTCCTTTACTCTCTACAAGCCCCCGTAATCGTTTTCCCGCAGTCTTCAAGCCTAACTAGTTCCGCAGAAAAGCACGTAGGACCGGCGCTAAAAGCCATTCCTTTATTCTGCCCCAGTCAGGCCACATTCACAGGCACACTGGGAACCCGCTGATTGCTTCGGTGCTCTGCATGATCATGTCCGCCAGCAGAAAGCAGAAGCCTGGCAAGGAGGGAGTGCAGAGCGGGGAAGAAAGGTGGGCCCTGGGGCGGATGACCTGGCCTGCCTGGGGACTAGGGATGGGGGCTCCAAGCGCGTCTCCATCGGGTGTGCTGGAGTCTGAAGTGCAGGTGTTGGGGAGTCCCTGGAAGTCACTGTGGGCTTTCCTGGGAGAACAGGAGACTGGGAAGTTTCTGGGGCGGGGAATCCTCTAGAGGGGGTAGTCCCCACCCTTTCCCCCTTGTGCTGGTTACCCGCAAGAAACGAGAAGGGTAAAGCCAGCCATCCGAAAAAGTAGGACCAGGAGAAGAAGACTTCTGGCTTCCAGGCATTCTTTGCAGTATATCCAGTCAATGCAATCAGCAGCAGCAGCCCTGGGCCACACCCACCCATCAGGTGAGCGGGACCAGGTGGTGGCAGTACCCAAGCCTGCCTCTATTGCCTAGGCCACGCCCTTCAGAACAGCCTCTGGCTACCCTTTGGCCTTTGTGGATTTCCCTCCTCCCCTCCCCTCCCTTCCCCTCCTTCTCTTTCCCTTTCCTTTCCATTACTATTTTTACTTTTTATTAAAAATAGATTCTCCCCTTAAGCAATACACCTGACCAGTTTTCTCTCTCCAGGCCTCCCAGCTTCTCTATTATCTCCTCCCTCCCCCAGATCCACTTCTTATTCCCTTCTGTTTCCTTTTCAGAAAAGAACTGACCTCCAAGAAACCACAGCCAAACAGGACAAAACAAGATACCAAAGGACAAGACAAAAGCCTTCTTATCGGCTGGAACAGGCAACCCCGTGGGAAGAAAAGAGTCCCAAGAGCAGGCAAAAGAATCAGAGCTACACCTGCTTCTACTCTTATGAGGCTGTCTCTCGTGTGCTGGACTCCACCACTTCTTCCTCCAGCCACGCCCCTCCACTTCTAGCCCTATCAGTCAACACCTCTTGACCCAGTTCTTTCAGGATTACCATCACCACCACCCACTCTCCACAGGAGTGTGGCTGCCATCTCACCGCTGAGAAAAAGTAAGACAATGGCATTCTGGCTACGCAGTGACTCTCCCTCTTGACACCGAATCCTCATCCCCATCCCCAAAGATATGACACTGAAGGTCGCTGCCAACACCATGCATGCTGCAGTCACCGCCAGGGTGTCTAGAGAGACAGGGGAGCATCAGTGGGGCACCCTGTCGCCATCAAAGAGCAACCTTGAGCTCTCCTATTCACCCTGACCCCACCATACACACACCATGTGTGTCTAGAGCTCAGCCGTCTCCTGGTGTTTCTATGAGGACCAAGAGGGTAGCAAGACAGGTCTGGGGAGGAAAAGCCTTGGTGGTAGAGGACAGCTGGACCTGAGCCTGGGGTGGGAGGGATGCGCTTTGGAATGTGGTCTGACGTAGGGGCAGGTCTCACTCTGGCAGGGGATGTTGGAGCAAGTGCCATGGGTACATTCCTGCCACAGACCACTGTGGCCCCCCTGCTGCCGTGTCCAGTAGTTGGTAGCAGTGGACAGTACTGTGAGGAGGCTGGTCAAGAGATTCAGCAGATTGCCTCCAGTCTGAAGGCTCCTCTTCACCCCCATGCCAAGGGGGCAGCTGCCAAGGACATCAAGGTAGGACTGGCTCACACCCTTGGTTTGGGGGAGGCTCCTCCACTTCAGAAGGCCTCCCTCTCCAAGCACCCCTGCCTGGTGACCTCAAGATCCCCAACACTAGTCGTATGGTGATTTAAACCTGTAATCCTAGTATCAAGGAGGCCGAGGCAAGAGATTGAAAGTTCAAGGCTGACCTGGGCCATAAGGAGTTCTGGGCCAGCTGGACTCCAGTGTGAGACCCTATCTCAATTCAAACAAAGAAACAGAACAAAACAGGAGCTAAAATGTAGCTCAGCGGTCGAGTGCTTGCCCGGCATGCACACGGTCCTAGGTTCCATCCTCTAGTAGAGTATAAACCAAGCGTAGTGGGGCACACCTGCCATCCCAGCACTTGGGGGGTAGCGGCGGGAGGACCAGAAGTTCAAGGTCATTTTCACTACATAGTGAACTTAAAACCAGCCTGGGCTACATGGGACTATCTCAGACAAAGCAAAAGATTCCCAATCTCCTATCACCCCATGCTCCTATCCCCTTCCCAAACACCTTCCCTAAGAACTTATTCCTCTAAGAACCTTAGTTCTCTACCACCTAGCAGACTTTAAGACATCCTCACTGGAAGCCACCCCCTTCCCCACCCCACCTGCATCTTCACTTCAGGCCGCACAGCTCAGAGACTGTCTTCCAGGGACTTCCTACCTCAGTTGAACGCCTCTGTATAGGCCTCTATTGGCCCAGTGTCCTCTCCACCCTTACCCTTATACATATACACCCCAGAAAATGACTCACTGCCTGGTCCCCTGGGACAGACAGCCCACAGGGTGGGGGGATGGGTCTCTATGAGGCAGCAGAGATTCCAGAACCCTCTTCCAGTAACTGTTTAAAGGGATACCCTCTCCTGGAGCTTATTCATTTTCTGGTCTCTGTTCTGGAAGATTTTGGTTTTGTTTGTTTGTTTGATTCTGGGACAGGTTCTTACCCTGTAGCCCTGGCTATCCTGAAACTCACTCTGTAGATCACTCTCACCTCATACTCAAAGAGATCTGCCTGCCTCTGCCTCCTAAGTGCTGGGATCAAAGGCAGGTACCACTATACCCAGCAGGATTGTGGTTTTGAGGCAGAGTCTCATTGTGTAGTTCTCAACTGTCCTAGAACTTACCATGTTGGCCAGGCCAACCTCGAACTTGCAGCAGTCCTCCAGCCTCAGGCTCCCAAGGCAGGGAGTCACCACCAAGCCCAACTTCCAGCAGCTTTCTCTTTTTAAAAAAAGATTGTTTTTTAGTTTTAAAAGTGAATTGTTTTAAATTATGTGTATGCATGTGTGTGTGTGTGTGTGTATGTATGTGTGTGTGTGTGTGTGTGTGGTACTGTGTACGCATGTGTCTGTGGTTTCTGTGTACGCATGTGTCTGTGTGTGGTTCTGTGTACGCATGTGTCTGTGTGTGGTTCTGTGTACGCATGTGTCTGTGTGGTTCTGTGTACGCATGTGTCTGTATGTGGTTCTGTGTACGCATGTGTCTGTGTGATTCTGTGTATGCATGTGTCTGTGTGTGGTTCTGTGAATGCATGTGTCTGTGTGTGGTTCTGTGTACGCATGTGTCTGTGTGTGGTTCTGTGTAGGCATGTGTCTGTGTGTGGTTCTGTGTACGCATGTGTCTGTGTGTGGTTCTGTGCGTGTGAGTGCAGGTGCCCAGTGGAGGCAAAGGCACTGGATCCCTTGGAACTGAAGTTCCTTGGCTTTGAGCCACCATGCTGTGGGTGTTGGGAACTGAACTCAACTTCTGAGCCTGGTTTCCGAGGCTCTATTAACAGACAGCTCAGAAAGCAGGCCTGGGAACCAGGCTTGGTTGCTCCTGCCTGTAATCCTAGAAGGAAGCTGGAGGATTACCTTCAGTTTTGAGGCTACCTTGATCCACATATGAGTTCAGATCAGCTAAGCTCCTGTCTCAAAAAGAAAAGGAAGAGGCGAGGCGTAGAAGAAGAACAGATGAGAGTCAGGAAGAAAGGAAAGAGGAAGAAAGGAAGAATAAAAAGAAGGAAGGAGCTCCAAAGCTACAATTGCTTGGCTGATCAAGTTGGTATAAAGCTGCTCTTCCTTCATGATACCTCATAAGCTCTCCTGGCCCCCAGTTCTCGGACTGTGCCCTCTCTGGCTCTCTTCTCTTCTCCTCTGGTAAATGCTGATCTCCTCTGGGTGCCTCTCTCTAGGAGAACCCTCCTTTCCTTAAGGACAGTGACCCTGAAGTTCTGAGAGAGCAGCCCAAATGTCACCGCTAGCCCCGGGTTCCTCCTCTGATCCCCAGACAGCTTCCCCTGTTCCCGGCTTTCCTCTGTGGCCAGGAAGATCACTGGCAGGGACTCGAACTTGTTACAGCTCTGCTGCCTTTCTCACTTCGCAGACCAGCTCCCCTTGCATCCATTATGGCTTTGGCCCCAAGCTCTGCCCCTTCCTACCTGCTTTCCAACCCTCCAGTCTCACTCCCCGGTCACTGGAGGGAGACCTGTCTCTCTCACACACTTGGGTCAGCTTCTCCTCTGATCACAGTTATTGCCCAATTTGCCACCATTCTCAGGAGAAAACCAGCTGTGGCAAAGAGGCCCTGGCTCCCATCTGCCTCTCTGTCATAATTTCCCACTGCCACCACGCTCTACACTCTAGACACGAACCACCCCCTCAATATCCTTCCCATCTCTCCGTCTTTGGGCACCTCTGCCTGGATCACATAATTTCTGTGCTCATGAATATTTGTAATCCTAATTCTTCAGAGGCTGTAGCAGAATTGCTGTGAATTCAAGGACTGCCTGGGCAGTTAGTGAGACATTGTCTCCAAAGGTACAAGGGAGTTGGGCATGTAGCGTGGTGGTCAAAGGCTTGCCTTCGCTTGAAGGAGGCCCTGTGGTCCATCTTCTATGTTAAACCTAAAGAGTTGTTGCTAAATATCATCTCTGCTTTAAAAAAAAAATAAAAGATATGCCTGGGTTCAGTTTTCTTCCCACATCCTCAGGCTGTGGCTGCTGTCTGGTCATGTCAAATGCTAGTGGTTACGGCTTTTTGTGATGCAGATCAGTGGTCCCAGAGTGGCCTCACAGAGAGAAAAGGAAATACCTAGTAAAAATGGGGGCCACTTGGGGAAGAAAAGAGAAAGATAGAAATTGGGCGAAAGAAAAGCAATTGAAGATGGGAGAGAAACACAGGGAATTTATGTCCACACAGGGCAGAATCCACTTCTGGTGTGCAGGTCTGATGCGCTCCCTCTCCCTGAGGGCTCTTCTCTTACCCACCCTAAGGCTCCAGTGTGATCGACTTAGGTGCCAGGGAGAGAACTTGGGCCTCATTCATGCTCAGCAAATCTCTAGACTGAGCCACAATGCCTGCCCATGTTGTAGTTTTTGCCTTGAGGCAGGATCTCAGAAAGTCACCCAGGCCAGCCTTGAACTCACTGTGTAGCCCAAACAGGCTTTGAAGTTGTGACACTCCTTGCTCCAGCCTCCTGAGTAACTCGGATGATAGGCCTGGCTTGGCTTATTTCGTGACTGAATTGATCTTAGAACAATTAGATCTGCGTATGTTTTTATTGAATGTGAGAAGAAACCAATGAAGAGTAAGGCAAGGTGGGAGGGACAGAGCCAGAATCCTGCATTTTCTCTGTAGCTCCAAGCGTCCTGCTGACCCTGCTGCTGTCTTGCCTTCTGTTCATAAGGTTTCATACCCAGCCCGGTGGGTTTTGCAGTGAGCACCCAGGCTCAGGCAGCCTGGCGTGGAGACAGAGGTGGGAGGAGAGATTAAGGACTTGAGTGCCCTGCACGGCCCCTCCCCACACCCCAGCAGGGTCCTCCCTGGGGAGGTGGGCTGAGTAGTCACCTGCACAGAGGAACAGGATAGAGGAGACCCAGCCCAGGTAAAAGGACCATGAGAAGAATGTCTGGACCTGTGGAAATGGAGTCTGGCTCCATCTATTACTGGTGTACACTGCCATGGCCACTATTATGGAGAGAGCTGAAGACAAGAAGAAGAGAGAGCTGCCTTGGCCACTGCAGGACTCACCAGCTCTGGCGTCCCAGTGCAGCCCAGATTCCATTCATACCTGCAGCAAAAGCCATGACAGTTGACACCAGAGGGCCACGGCCCGGGAGGGATAGGGCTGGACTGTAAGACAAAATCAGGAAGCCCACGGACACCAGGCTCCCCAGGGCAGCCAGGATACAGAAGCTCTGGGTCACATGGATATAACCTAATGCAGGACGAGACTTGTGGGTGTCTGTTCCCCCTGGCCATTCCCACTACCAGGGAGCCCACTGCACTTTACCTGCTACCTGGATCTCATGTCTGTTCCCCTCGGCCATTCCCACCACCAGGGAGCCCACTGCACTTTACCTGCTACCTGGATCTCATGTGTTCTTGGCCAGAGACCACTGTGGGAAGAGGATGTGGGGCCTATGGCCACTATCCAGAAGTCAGTGCTCAGAGCAATCAGAGAAGAAGTCAGGCCCAGGAAGCCAGCAAGCAGAGCCAGGGACCGGCAGGGCTCCATGGACACAGCTCTGGGTTTCTACTTCTTATGGGGTAAAGACACAGATAACCCAGCCTATTGGGTCTTAGAGAAAGGAGAAGGGCATACACCCGGACTCCCAGACTCCCAGGTCCTCTGAGCTGAAGAAGCAGCCAGCAAGCAGTCAGTCACTCTGGCTGTAGCTTCAGGCCTGGCATCTGACTCTTCTCACACCCTCCCTTCCTGCGCGGTTTCCCCTCCCCTCTTCTCTTGCCTGGTGAGGGTGGGCCTGCTGATGTCTTCACTCACTGGCTGCTCTGGGGGTGTCCACCTTCCGTGGTCTAGGCAGTGGTTTAGACTGTTGTCACGGGTTCTGTGGCCCCACAGTTGGAGACAACAGAGAGGGTTTCCTGGAAGAACTTAGGGCGGGCTTTGGGGGCCTAGAGGTGGGAAGTAGACCAGTCATACCAGGGTGTGAATTAACTCAAAGGGGAGATGTGGCTGAGGGGGCAGTTATTTCACATTTTCCTGTGGTTTTTATACTTTGCTCCTAGACTCTAGCACTAGAGTTTCCAATAGTAGAAGAGTAGTGGGGTCAAAATACCAGTTCCAAGGGAGGAAGGACTTGGTGGGAAGAGAGATTCCATGTTCCTAGTTAAAGCCTCTGTCCAGGACAGACAGAATTCTATAAAACTTAAGGGCAGGAAGTCCTTCCCACATCCTCATCTCACACTATAGTGAGAATTCACCCCACCTGGGTGGGCCTTCCAGCATGGGTGTCTTAACACCAAGATGAGGCTGTCTGGAGAGTAGCAATTCAGGGTCTTCTGCCTCTGTCTCCCAGTAGTCAACACCTTCTCTCCAGGGAAACACAGAATGTGTCTGTCATCCCTTACTGTGGTGACGTAGGACGGTCTTCCCAGCACTCAAGAGATCTGAGGCAGGAGGACCACAAGTTTAAGACCAGCTTTGGCTACCTGAGACTCTGTCCTTCTAAAAACATAAACCAAAATAGAGAGGGAGACAGATCCTCCCCTTCCTTCCCTGGATGGTCCTAGCTGAGAGGGCATCCAGGGAAGGAAGCAGGGGTACGGCGCTGCCCGGAGCGGGCGGGGAGCAGGGAAGCTCTATTTTCTGAGATCAGTTTGTTCATCCTATTATCCCAGACACTCATTTCTAGGCATTAAATCATGGCCGTCTCCAAAGTAGGGACCCATTTATCTTGTTCCCATCCCTGTAGAACTAAGGAAGAGAGGACACCATGTCAGAATACCCCTGTCCCCCAACCACCACTCCAAACCAGCACTGTGAGGACTCACACTTTGATAGTTTCACATCAGTTTTATTAGATCACAAAATGCCTCTCTAAAAGAGTTTCCATTTTTCTACCACCCTTTGGGCCAGGTAGGGGTTCATGTCTTCTCAACTCCTTCCCACCTGACCCACACAGGACAGAGGGATCGGGGACTCCCCTATCTAGAATCCAGGACTGAGCCCCCTCATTCCCTCAGGAGCCAAGACTTCCTCCAGTTGCTAGGTCCTCCCCTTCCTCTTCAGTGCCTTCATTGTAACTTCCATCTGTAAGGTTTACCCCGGGTCTCAGCGTGGGGTGGACAGACGCCGGCACTCATGCATCCGGTAGGCACACATGTAGAAAATTCCTGTGTGGACAGAATTCGTTGATACCCAACCCCCTTGGGTCTCCCCTTCTGTTTCAGAGACTCTGCATTTCCTCCCTCCCTTGGACCTAGAGTCTGCCATCAAGTGTGTGTAGGGTGTCTCGTCACCTCACCCTCTGAGGTTGCTTGCCTTGGACCTAGAGTCTGCCATCAGATCTGTGTAGGGTGTCTCGTCACCTCACCCTCTGAGGTTGCTTGCCTTGCCTCAGACTTCTACCTTCCCGTCACTCTGCCTCAGTACCTGCAAAGAAGGTCATGAGCAGGGCCACCCAGCCCAGGATGTAAGACCATGAAAAGCGCCAGTCCCCAAAGCGGCGGCCGAGGAAGCTGACAGTGACTCCAGTGTAAATGGCCAAGGCCAACAGGACGAAAAGAGCTGTGGAGAGAGCATGGGGTGGCATGAGGTTGGATAAGAGAATAGGAGATTAGGAAGAGGGGAGGTTGATGAGGGTGGCAACAGTGGAAGGTGATATGGGATATGGGGGATGGGATTGGGGGAGGACAGGGCAGGGAAGCACAATAAAGCATCGGACAGTTCCTTGTATCTGTGTTCTGGGAGGGGAAACAAACCTTTGCAGTGTCCTGAGTTACAGACCCTGAGTTACAGAGTGTCTTCATTACTCTAAAGACCTCGTTGGATCGCACTAGAGTTTGTGTGAACTAACAGGTGGCTCGGGGTGCTTATCACAGATACCACCAGGGATTGGAGGCTGTGGTGGTTGAGTAAGAATGGCTCCCATAGTCTCATATTTTTAAATGTTTAGTCACCATGAAGTGGCACTAGAAGGATTGGAAGGTATGGCCTTGTTGGAGGAAATGTATCACTGGGGGTGGCCTTTGAGGTTTCAGAAGTCCACACCGAGCCCAGACTAGCTCTCTCTCTTGACCAGTGGATCAGTTTGTAGCTCTCAGATTCTCTCCAGCACTGTGAGTTCCCCTTCTACGAAGATAAACTAAATCTCTGGAGCGGTAAGCAAGCCCCAAGTAAATGTTTCCATTTGTAATAGCTGCTGTGGTATTAGAGTCAGTTCACAGCCATGACTAAGACGGGAGGGTGTGAGGATCCTGAGCCTGAGAGCACGGCCTCTGGGCCAGCGGAAACTGGAGGCTAACCGACGTCCATTTGCGCTGGCTGGATCTAGGACCCCCTAGGACACACACACACCCGCACACACGTGCATTGTGTGAGTGTGTGTGTGTTTCCCGAGAAGAAGCTATTTACTTATTACTTGATTTATGTGTGTGTGCTATGGAGGTTGAGAGAAGGTCCGAGGACACTCTGTAGGAGCCTGTTCTCTCTTTCCAGTGTGTAGGTTCTGGGGACATAAATACCAGGCTTGAAAGCAAGTTTCTTTAGCATGAGTTGCCTCACCAGCCACTCCAAAGCATTTTAATTAAGGTAGAATATGCACCCTGAATGTGGACAACAGTATCTCATGGATCAGGGTCCTAGACAGAATAAAAAATAAGCCTAGCACTGGCTGTTACCTCTGTTTCCTGATTGTGGGTGCAATATGACCAGCTGCCCCATGCTTCTCCCATCGTGACTTCTCTGCCATGATGGTCTGTGCTCTCCAGCTGTGAGCTAAATTTACCTTCCTACCTTTCTGAAGTTGTTTCTTGTTAAATATTTGGTCATAGCAATGAGAAATGCCACCAATGCACCTGTGTGACAACATTCTGGCAGGATTCACTGTATATGCCTCTTCATCAGCTGGTCCTGAGCTGAATGTGTATCAAGACGGTCACTGTAAGTGTGAATATTTTTTAAGTTCTATGGGGTGGTTAGTATTAGAATCCCTGCTTAGAATCCCCTAGTGAAGGGCTAAGTCTTGATTTAGTGGTAGAGTTGCCATGTGTATCATGCCCCAGTAGGGGGCTGGGTATGGCTCAGTGGTGGAACCACTGCCTAGAATTCTCCAGTGAGAGGCTAAGAGTCTTTCTAGTGCATGTAAGTTCCAGAGATTTTATTCTCATTACTAGGACAAAAGGAAGAAAGGAAAGAAGGGAGGGGAGGAGGTGATTTCCTCTAATTACAAAGTGGAGTTAAAAGCAAAGGAGAAAGGAAAGTCAGTGGAGTTGAGTCTAGGAGTGAGAGAGGGAATGGAGTGGGGGTGATGAGAAGTGGGTGTTGGGTGGGGTTGAGGAGCTGGGAAATTTGGGTGGGGAAGGAAGGATAGGCTCACTCACTGGAGGCAAAAAACATGATGCCGGCGGAGAAGGGCCTGGAGAGGCGGGTGAAGGCAGACTGCTGTGCAAAGGCTAGGACGCCCATGATGATGCCTGAGGTGGCACACAGGGCAGACAGGATCATGAACGCCCGGGTGGCATTCCAATATGCTGTGGAGACACATCAGTTACTCCGGGCCACTGTTTCCTTTCATGTATCTGACTTGGCTCTTCCCTCCTTTGACCTAACAGACCCATCCTCCAAAGCCCCTGCTCTTGCGACCTCTCCTGGGAACTGATCACGGCCACCACCCTCTCTCTCTGCTTTTCATTCTGTCTCTCCTATTTCACCCCCTCCAGCTCGACTTCCCCCTGAAGACAGGGACTGGCTTGGTTCTTGATGTGAGCATCCCAGCATGGGTGTGGCTTACACGTACGCCTTGTGAAGTGTTTATTTCCCCATATGCTCTTGACAATAATCTCTGTCTCACTGATCCTCTCCTTTTCATCCATTAGACTTTGCTGCACCTGAAAAGTCCTGTTCTTTTAACTATATCTGTAGCGTCTGAAAAGACCAGGGCTGGCTCCTTCTCTCTCGGTTGCATACCCAGCCCCCGACACGTGTCTGGCACATGACAGATGTAACAAGTTTTGAGACAGGGTCTCTATAGCCCAGTCTTCTTGTCCTTGAAGTTAATGTAGCTAGGGTTGACCTTGAATTCCTGACTCTGCTGTCTCTACATTCCAAGTGTTGGAATTACACTTGAGATACCACGCTTTCCTCTGTCCTGATGTGACTCTGCCTGGGTCTCCTGAGTTCTAGAACTGCAGGTGTGCACCACCATCTCTGCCTCCATCTGATCCTTACAGATAACTGAACAACCCCACAGCATTCCTGGGGGATGGAAGGAGGCTGACCTATGAAAAGGGCTTGGGCTAGTTTTAACTTATTTTTGTTGTTTTCAGGATAACACTCAACAATTATCAATTAAAATACTATAGCAAATCTTGTGGAGTATAGTATGATGTATTAGCTTATCATATACTGTATTGTATGATACATTCAACAAAACATTAAATATTACTAATTTCCCATGCTACATAGATTATATTATGTAGACTACAGCATATTATTCATTAGTATTATATATTCATACCTAATATATACTATGTAATATATTTCTCCATGTCACGCTTCTTCCATCTAGTGTGTGTGTGTGTTGAGTACATGCCTGGCTGTGTATGTGGAAACATGTATGTATGTGCATATTGAGACCCAAGGTCGACCTTGGGTGCTGTTCCTCAGGAGCTGTCCACCTTGTCTTTTGAAATAAGGTCTCTCCCTGGCTTGGAGTTCACCAAGTAGCTAAGCTGGCTGGCCAGGGAACCTCAGGGATCTACATCTCTCTCTGGTGTTTCAGGGTTAGAACTGATGTTCCTTTATTTATTTGTTTGTTTGGGTGACAGGCAATCCTCTTGCCTCAGCCTCCTGGTTCCAAAATTATAGATGTAAGCCACCATGTCTGGCCAGCTGGCCAGTTGGCCTGCTTGCTTGTCTGTTTGCCTGTCTGCTTACATACCTCTAGTTATTTGAATGAGAATAGATCCCATAGACTCATGTATTTGAATGTTTGGTCCCCAGTTGGTGGAATTGTTTGGAAGGATTAGGAGGTGAGGCCTTGTTGGGAGGAGGTATGTCATTGGGGGTGGACTTTGAGGTTTCTAAAGTCCATGCCAGGCCTAGTCTGTCTGTCTGTCTGTCTGTCTGTCTCTCTCTCCCCCTTCCTCCCTCCCTCTCTCCCCCTCTCTTTGCCTCCTGTTTGTGGATTAAGAGGTATCACTCAGCTACTGCTGCAGCACCACACCTGCCTGCCTACCACCATGCTCCCCATCACGATGGTCACGGACTCTAACACACCGAAACTGTAAGCCCCAGTAAACTCTTTCTTCTATAAGTTTCCTTGGTCATGGTGTTTTGTCATGGCAATAGAAGAGTAACTAAGAGACTTCCTACTTATCCATCCATCCATCCATCCATCCATCCATCCAATCTATCATCTAGCTTGTCCTATCCTTCCTATCAGTCTATCCATCTATCTGTTCTATCCATGATCTCTACATTATTTATACACTTATCCATCCTGCCCATCCTATTTCTACCTTATCTATCCATACATCCATTCTATCATCCTTCCTTCTTATCTATCTATCTATCTATCTATCTATCTATCTATCATCTATTATCTATCTATATCTATCTGTCTATCCATCCATCCATCCATCTATCTATCACCTATCTATCTATCTATCTATCTATCTATCTATCATCTATCTATCCATCATCTATCTATCTACCTGTCTATCTATCTTATCTATCTATCTATCTATCTATCTATCTATCTATCTATCTATCTAT